AATTTTTAACTGTTTTCCAATGTTTGAACTATTTTTGCATAGACTAAAGTATAAAGCAGTGAAAATAATTAACAGGCAATCGTTCGATGGGCTGAACTGCACAAAACGCATGATCGCATCGGCTAGTCTGGTGCGCGTTGCCATTTATTTCCTTTTCTTCGCTCCAGCGCACCACTGCACGCGCCTTCCTCTTCTTTTCTTTCCCAGCTCTCACTCCATCCCTATGCCCTCGTGACCTCCCTCCATCCGCACCAGGTCATCCTCCCCCTCGCTGATGCTGCAGTCGTTCGATACTACCGAAGGGGGTTTGACTCTTTCGGCAGGAAAACAATTGCTTGAAAGGTTCGCGAAGGTCAATCGCGATACTTCGCGACAGTCGCTTCTTTCTCTTTCTTTTCGTCAGCTAATAATATATCAGCTTTAACTGGGAGGAAGATTGAGACAGAAGTATCCGAATATCAAATATTTATTCGAACCCATGAATAAACAAGAGGGCGAAAATTCAAAGTAATGCTGTTGATAGTGCAAAAAGAAAAGGGTCAATATCGATGGCCGGATACCGCAACTTCCAGCTCCAGAAAACCGAAGCTCTGCGGTCCGTGTAAGACTCTGCCAGCCGATCCTGGCCTGCGGTCCTTGCAAGCTCCTTCGAGCTGTTCCACGAATGATCTTTTGTCACCTCAGCGAATTCTTTGTTGCAAATGTGTTTATACAGATTTGACGAAAACATGATAGGTACAGATTCAACAAAAACAGGGTGATAATTATTAATCACTGCGATTCCAAACACGTACATAAATCACAGAAATCTGAAATTGCTCAGCAAACACCGCTTTATGCGATATCATAAGCTTCACTCTCTAGTGATTGCTAACCAAATCTGAATGTTTTGTGCCAAGCAAATCACTCAGCTTGCGGATGATGCTGGTTAGATGGTAGGCCAATCGGTCTAGTAAGTGCACTGAACAAAAGTGACGTTGGAAACCGAACGTGAACGAGTTAGAGGAGAATTTTCAAACTTTTATGGCGTTTTTGTCGTAGGTAACTTTCGAAGCTAAATTTCTATCCACTCCTTTTTTTTTTGACTGCAAAAGTAGATTGAGAAGATGATGGGAGATCCAGAAGCCCTGGAAGAGTAACGTAAAATGCGTTATGGTTGCAGCTTAGACCATTTTTAACCTGCCACATATCCATTGGCGCAAAAAGCGCATGTTCATTCGAATCTTCTGCTGCAGAATGTCTTTTACTCGGTGAAGAGGAAATCCATGGTCAGTCGTTGCACTTCCGATGCAAATAATTTTTCAGCTCCCACCACAAACCAGGCAGAGACAGTGTGTATTTGTGACAGGCCCTCCACAGCTGTACAGTGCCAGCAATGTGGTATGATTATTCCGGGACATGCGGCACGAGTCTGCAAACAA